TAGCAGAGGATGCAGATTACATATCGTAAGGGGGGCATCTCCTCGCCCGCCTAGTGCGAGTATTATCATTATCACGCTTGGCTTTAGCTATAGCATAGCGAAGAGTACCATACGATACCTCATCGAACATTTGAAAAACATGAAGGCAGGGTAATAGGTGTGATCTGGTGGTCTGGGGCAGACTGAAGAAGCGGCCCTTGGTTTGTCCAACGCAACTATCACTATTTCTCTTAGATTGGAGAGTTACCCTCAGGCCTAGTTCTCAGCATAGGAAGACCAACCAACAGGTCTAGGATTATAGACAGTGATGGGACGCTGGACCCGGTTTCAGCACCTGTGTTCTTCCGCAACTCATCTCATGTTTTTCTTAAGAGGGACGCTGGACCCGGTTTCCAGCAGGTGATGCTCCCCACCAATAGATGGAGTGGTCCGTCGACAAAGCCTCAATCCCGGTGGTTCTCTTACCACCACTGGGATAGAGGTCTTGCACAAGGGCAAAAGAAAATGATTCAGTCGAGCATCCAGAGAAAGCATTGTAGCCATTCCATTCTGTTCAATGGTTAAGGATAGAGAGCAAAGGTAGAAGACCAGGTCGTGACTCGTGAGCAATGATAGAGACATCAAACAAGGAGGATGAGCAAACATCAATGCTACGGGGCCAGGGAAAGAGAGGGGAAGGGGAGAAGAGGAGTAGAGAGAAGAGAGGAGAGAAGATAGAAGAGAGGGGGAGGAAGCGTGGAGAGAGGTCATCGACATGCGAGGTGACAACTGAACATTGTGAAGACCAGCTACTATGCCATTCACACGCAAACAGCCACAGTCATGTACTAAGGGAACTAGTAAGACAAATAAACAAAGAGGAGGAGTCATGGTACCCTTTCAACAAGACAGGAGGTTGTCACTGAATACAGGAACTGTTACAGAGTTTCTTCAAACAGCAGGCAGAGGGAGCATAAAGCAACGAGTGTGAACCCAAACCTTGCCTCTCCCATCAGAGTGTTACATACTCCAATGAGTATGGGCAGAACCAAGAATCAACCAATATAGGATGAGTTTTTATGCAGTGGAAGGCTTATGACGAACTGACTCACATAGACTGACTCACATAGACTGACCTACATGGCATCACTCCACACACATACAATCATGAGATGGTGGGGTCTGGGTCATGCATAGAAGATACCCAGATCCCGTACACACATGCACAGATGAAAGGTGGGAGGAGAGACGAAGGAGGCAGGAGGTAGATCACACCGATAGGTCACAAGATAGGGTCCGGTAGGTCTCCGAAGTAGTAGTCCAAAATGTCATACAACAAGATCAAAATGTCGAGGACCAAAGGTCACCAATGTCGGAGATAACCGAGTCCAGATG